GCTCTGTAGACCAGTCTGCCTAGAATCAAAGAGATCTGCCTGCCTCTGCCTCCTGAGTGCTGGGATTAAAGGTGTGTACCACCACTACCCGGCAGTTAATCCCTACACTCAGAAGGCAGAGGCAGGCAGATCTCTGTGAGTTCAAGGCCAGCCTGGTCTACAGAGCAATTTCCAGGACAGGCTCCAAAGCAATACAGAGAAACCCAGTCTCAAAAAAACAAACAAACAAAAAAACCAAACAAACCAACAAAACAAAACAAAAAAGGCACACCCACCATGCCTGGCACATTTGTTACTCACTTTTGACTGGACTCAGACTTCCAAGCAGACTCTCCCAGTGAGGACAGCCTATGCCTGCCTCTTGACAATCTGTTCCCGGTGTTTTTCTTTGGCTTCCTTCATTCTCTTGGCCAAAAAGTTCAGCGTGTTTCTGCAGCCTCTTCCTTGCTCTTCTGGGTGTATTGTTTCTTCAGGGCCATATGTTGGTATTTCTGTCGCTGGACACTTGGAGTAAAAGACGCTGAGTGTTGGACGGTTTGGTCCTGGACTTCTCACATTGCTTAAGGGCTTTCTAACAATGCATCATCACATGTTAGCATCTTTAGAGGGAGACGGGAGCATCCCTAACACATTTGGAAGTCCTGTCTCCCGTTCTTGGTCCAGAATAAGAACGCCCGGACTCAACAGCAGGGCCCACTCTACCCTGGGTCAAGACATCTGCTTCAGAGGATAACCCTGTTTGTTGCTCCCACCTCTGATTCGGGCCGGACAGCCCTTCCCTTCACCCAGAGCAGCAGCTGCTACTACATCCGTGGCATCTCCAGAAAGTATAAAAGCTTTCGTTCACCACCCACTTCAATGACCTTCTGTCATCTGGCGGCTGGGGAAGGAGATGTTTTTTAGCTTCATCTTGACACAGGGTTGTGGGTGCTTTTTGTTTTTGTTTATTTTGGTTTTCATTTTGCGTATCTTTAATTCTATATGTGTGGGTATTTTTGCCTGAGTGCATTTATATGTACCTCATGCGTACCTTGTATGCTGTACAGGCCAAAAGCGTATCAAATGTCAGATCTCCTGGAATGGGAGTTGGAGACATTTGTCAGCTGTTATGTGAGGGCTGGAAATTGAACCAGGGTTCTCTGCAAGAGCAATCAGTGTTCTTAACCACTGAGCCATCTCTCCAGCCCCTGGGGGGGGGGTGTATTTTTTTTTTTTTTTTTTGGTTTTTCGAGACAGGGTTTCTCTGTGGCTTTGGAGGCTGTCGTGGAACTCGCTCTGTAGACCAGGCTGACCTCGAACTCACAGAGATCCGCCTGCCTCTCCCTCCCGAGTGCTGGGATTAAAGGCGTGTGCCACCAACGCCCGGCTGGGGATGTATTTTTTTTTTTTTTTTTTTGGTTTTTCGAGACAGGGTTTCTCTGTGGCTTTGGAGGCTGTCCTGGAACTCACTTTGTAGACCAGGCTGGCCTCGAACTCACAGAGATCCGCCTGCCTCTGCCTCCCGAGTGCTGGGATTAAAGGCGTACGCCACCAATGCCCGGCTGGGGATGTATTTTTTAATTGTTTATTTTTCTTGAGACAGGGTCTGTAGCCGGGCCGTGGTGGCGCACACCTTTGATGCCAGCACTCGGGAGACAGAGGCAGGCTTGTCTCTGTGAGTTGGAGACCAGCCTGGTCTAAAAGAGCTCGATCCAGGACAGCCTCCAAAGCCACAGAGAAACCCTGTCTTGAAACCCTGCTCCTCCCCCCCAAAAAAGAAGAAGAAGAAGAAGAAGAAGAAGAAGAAGAAGAAGAAGAAGAAGAAGAAGAAGAAGAAGAAAAGAAAAAGAAAAGAAAAAGAGACAGGGTCTCGCAAAGATTAGACTGGCCTCAAACCACCTACATATCTTAGGATGACTTTGAATTTCTGGTCCTCCTGCCTCTGTCTTTGGTTGCAGAAGGGAGGCATCGTTTGAGTTCCATCCACTGCTCATCAGATCCTGGAGGCTGCCCTTGTAGAGATCAACCGGGCCTTCCTTATACCCCATTTAATGCATACCCTAAGCTTCTAAAGCCCTAGCACGTAGCATTCCAAAGGTAGGGTGGGTGATAGGATTACCTTCCTAAATTATGATCTGAGGCCCCCTAGCTAGGATTTTCTCTAGGCCGCTAAACTCAGAGCCCCTTCCCATCTAAGCGGCAGAGCCGATTATCTCCGGGGCCTATAAATGTAAGGAATTTCCTTTGTCCTGGGGTTTTGGTTGCTTTGGGTCCTATTTCAGTTTCCCTCGGTACAAACGGCCGATGTTATTAAAAGGCCCGGCCACCTAAAACCCATCTCAAGACATCTCTACTGGATCTGTGCTCTACTCTTGAGTTGAGTCCCCTGCGGGCCCGCAGAGTGAAGGCTTCTCTGTAACAGTATCTCCTGTTAGGCTAGGCCAGGACTCCTGGCAGGCTGGGAGAGCCAACGCTCCAGCCATGCCCCCCCCAGAGTCATTCATTTATTTAATCTAGACAAGGTCTACGCTGTTATGGATGGCCTGGAAACTCTGTATGGACGAGGATGCCCTTGAACTCATATAGAGATCCGCCTGCTTCTGCTTCCAGAGTGCTGGCACTCGAGGCTCGCGCTGCCACTGCCACGCAAGGTCCAAGATTTATTTTATGTTGATTATGTGGACGTGGGGAGGAGGGTAGCACGGACACACACAGCAGGTTCCTATGAATGCCGAGCAGTTGTGATCCATCCTGGGCGTGCTGGGAACCAACCCGGTCTTCTGGAACTGCAGCGGGTGCTCTCACAGGCTAAGCCACATCCCCAGCCTCTTCCCCTGCTGCAGCACCTCAGGAGCCTTCCCAGCATCTCACAGGGTCACAGTCATGACTGCTGCTTTCTCATTGCCTCTTCCCCGCTGCAGGATTTGCCCAGCAGCCCTGCCATCCTCCCAGAGCGTCACCCCAGGCCTGACAGGATCCCGCACAAAATGAGGGTCTGTCGCCGGGCGTTGGTGGTGCACGCTTTTAATCCCAGCACTCAGGAGGCAGAGGCAGGCGGATCTCTGTGAGTTCGAGGCCAGCCTCCAAAACAATACAGAGAAACCCTGTCGGGAAAAACCAAAGCAAACAAATAAATAAGAATGATGGTCTGTGGAATGGCCGAATGTACCAGACTGCATCAGGCATTGTAATTCACAAAGCACTTTCCCATCCATTAAATCCCTAAGAGTCCTCCCTGCCCTGCACTGCCCTCAGAAGTGTTCAGTTCAAGTCGGCTGCTGTGTAACACTGCCTGGGTGAGTCGGAGGAGGGCTTGTTCACACAGAAAGGGAGAATCCATTCCGGGAGGCCACAGAGTGTCTTGACTACAGGGACCGGTTCTCACAAGATATCTCCACGTGTGGACACAATATCTGTGAAATACTTTAAAGGAGGCGCCCTAAGCCTGGAGTACGGGCATCGCTGGGTGCATCACTATGCTCGTTCCTGTTTAAACAGACGGCAAGCCTGAGCCCAGAGAGGACGCGCACCTGCCAAAATCTCTATCAGCTCCCCAGCGTCGGGGAGCACATTGGACAAGAGACAGGAAGGGAAGCAGGCAGCCCTCCCTTCACGCCCCAGCTGCCATGTGTAGTCCGCGCATTTCCCCCTCTGATCAGTGTGACACCAAGCCTGTGGTACCTAAGAGGGCGGGGCCGAAAGCCCACTGAAAGCAGCCACCATTGTGTGTCACCCAGCTGGTTCTCAGGTGGCTCCAGCATCCTGCTACCTGTTGCAAAACTTGCCACGAGGCTTTATAAGTACCCACGTGGCCAGGAGCAAGTCACCTTTCGCCTCAGTCACCTGCTCTTTCCAACAATACCTCCCCTTGCAAAAGTTCATCCTAACCCTTAGAGGCAAGGGGGCGCCTACCTGCCAGCGGGCTGCACCCATACCAACTGCTCTGTGGACCTCTGGCATTTGTTCCCGGGTTTGAACCTGGCCTGGAAGGTGGACCTCCTCTCTTCCAGGTGGTCCACTTGGGTTGTTAAATAAGCCGTCCCACAACGACCTCCTTTCCCTAAGGCCTGGGAAACAGCCAAACGCTGCTCGCCTACGAGACTCCAGTGCGCCCTCTAGCGGACCGGGGAGCGAGGTGCGCGCGGGGTGGGAGGGGGTTGGGGGTGCGTGGTTTCCTCCCACGAGCTCCCCCGCGGTGCCCAGAGCACCTGGGCCAACCCAGGTCACCAGGCAGGTCGGGAGACCCAGAGGAGTGACAGGGTGGTAGCTAGCGGCTTCCCCCACCACCACCACCCGCGCAAAGGGCGTCAGCACCCACGACTGTCACCCAAGAACCAGGCCGCTGCCCCGAAGCCGGTACCCACCCCTCTCCACTTCTGGATGTCCCAGCGGCGTCTCCTGGACCTGTCCACAGGTAACTGTCGCGCAACCCCCCCCACCTCCACTTCCTAGGTCCCCGGTGAGCTAGCTGGCTGCAGGGCGGCCCTACTCCCTCCCTCCCTTTCGGCAGGGCACGGGGCTGCTTTGGAACTGTAAATGCGGGCCGGGGGGGGGGGGATCGGGGGTTGGCGGCCTGGGTGGGAGCGAGGGGGAGGCGTCCCCACGCGGGGTCCGAGAGAGAAAGGGAAGGGGTGTCTCGAGCCCTCCTAGGACTGCCCGCGCGCTCCCACCGCGGCGCGCCCCCCCAGCCCCGCCTCTTGCCAGAAACCAGCCTTCTTAGAAGGGAGGGGTAGGGGGTGGGGGAGGGAGGTGGGGGGAAAGTGTGAATGAGAAGCTGGGGGCGGAGCGCGCGGGGGAGGGGCCGCTGCCAGGAACGCTCGGCCGGGGCTGGCGCCGCGCCCGCCGGTCGGTCGCTCGGTCGGTCGGGCAGCCTCGCGCCGCGCTTTGTCTCCCTCCCCGCGCGTCTCGGCGGCGGGTCCTGGAGGGGCCCCCAGCTCCAGGGCCCGCCCTCGGCCGCCCGCGGCCCCTCCCTCCCTCCCTCCCTCCCTCCCTCCCTCCCTCCCTCCCTCGCCCTCCGCGCGGAGCCTTTCAGTGCGGAGTAGTGACTAAACATTACAAGAAGACCGGCCGCGCAGTTCCAGGAATCGGGGGGGCGGGGCGTGCTGGCCGCGTAAATACCCGCGCGCGCGGCCTCGCCGGCGGCTCTAACTCCGGACTCTTCGGCTCTCCTGCTCTCCTCACCCGCCGCTGTCTCTCCCGGCTCCCGAACGCCGGCCTCCCCGCCACCCTCCCCACCCCCGCCCCTGCCCGGCCCAGCTCTCCGTCGTGGCCCCCTCGCCCGGGTCCTTTGCCTGATCCATCCCGGAGCGCGCCTGATCGGCCCCGGGGGCAGCGAAGCCGGAGGGAACGCACGCACCGGGAGCCCCTTTGTGGACTTGACGACCGCCAACATCTGGGCGCAGCGCGGGGCCGCTGCTGGCCGCCGCCTCGCCTTGGGGAACCGTAGGAGGCGCAGCCCCAAGGCCGGAGACTTCGCTTCGGGACTAGGTAGGAAGGAGGGGCGCGGCGTGGGGAAGGGTGGGGGCCTCGATCCAGCTCGGGAGCTTTTCCCGGTTTCTCCTCCCCTTCCCGGGTCATTCCCGGTAGGGAGGGGACGAGGTAGGGGGCAGAGCGGATGAGAGCCGAAGATCCCGGGTTCCCGTAATACTCGGACTGGGGCCCTTGGGCTTCTCCAGTCCCCTCTCCCACATATCTCGGGTTTGTCACCCCCCTTTTTGTCCTCGCCACTGAGGGCACCGGACTGAGCGGCGCCCTGAGCGTCCCTGGGGCTCTTGTCTCGCTCCCCATCCTAGCGGTGCTCCTGGAGACCCAACTTCCACTCGCGAGTTTGTCTCGGGTGTTCTCCCAGGGCGCGCAGGGGCAGGGATTGTCTGGGCTTGACCGGCAGGGACCGAGGCCGGGAGAGCTCCGCGAGGTGGCTGGGTCCGAGACTCGGCCTTCTGCGGGGCAAGCGGGTGCCCCGGGCGCTCGGCGGAGGCTGGAGGGCTGGGCACACTGGAGGGTTCCGGGTACTCACGCGCCGGGCGCTTTCCTCTCCGCAGCCCCCCGGGATGCGGTAGCGGCCGCTGTGCGGAGGCCGCGAAGCAGCTGCAGCCACCGCCGCGCAGATCCACGCTGGCTCCGTGCGCCATGGTCACCCACAGCAAGTTTCCCGCCGCCGGGATGAGCCGCCCCCTGGACACCAGCCTGCGCCTCAAGACCTTCAGTTCCAAGAGCGAGTACCAGCTGGTGGTGAACGCCGTGCGCAAGCTGCAGGAGAGCGGATTCTACTGGAGCGCCGTGACCGGCGGCGAGGCGAACCTGCTGCTCAGCGCCGAGCCCGCGGGCACCTTCCTTATCCGCGACAGCTCGGACCAGCGCCACTTCTTCACGCTGAGCGTCAAGACCCAGTCAGGGACCAAGAACCTACGCATCCAGTGCGAGGGGGGCAGCTTTTCGCTGCAGAGCGACCCGCGGAGCACGCAGCCAGTGCCCCGTTTCGACTGTGTGCTCAAGCTGGTGCACCACTACATGCCGCCCCCGGGCGCCCCCTCCTTCTCGTTGCCACCGTCGGAACCCTCCTCCGAGGTGCCGGAGCAGCCACCTGCCCAGGCGCTCCCCGGGAGTACCCCCAAGAGAGCTTACTACATCTATTCTGGGGGCGAGAAGATCCCGCTGGTACTGAGCCGACCTCTCTCCTCCAACGTGGCCACCCTCCAGCATCTCTGCAGGAAGACCGTCAACGGTCACCTGGACTCCTATGAGAAAGTGACCCAGCTGCCTGGACCCATTCGGGAGTTCCTGGACCAGTATGATGCTCCTCTTTAAAGAGCAAAGGGGTCAGAGGGGGGCCTGGGTCGGTCGCCTCTCCTGCGCGCGCGCGCGCGGCACACGGCACAAGCACAAAAATCCAGCCCCGGTGGTCGGTGGCTTTCGGTGAACCAGGGGCAGGTAGGCTTCTTCCTCGGGCCGGCCCTCGGCTTTGCGAAGTGGGTCAGACAGGACCTGGAATGTGCCTGAGGGGAGGGGGAGTTGCCACCTGCTTTCCCTGCTCCAGCGTCTCCCTCAAGAGGAGCCAGCTGGCCTGGTGGGACAATGCATTGACAAGTGGACTCTCCTCTTCCCTTCCTCCACCCCTCTGCTTCCCCGAGGGAGCGGAGGGGGGGGGGGAGGACACCTTTGAGTGCCGAACTCACGAGGACTGCAGGGGGGGGATCTTCAAACTTTCCCACAGAACTTGTTTGCGCTTTGATTTGGTTTAAATCCTGAACAGGCGCCAGGCCTGGGGGAAAGATGGAAGAGGGTGTGTGAAGGGCGGCGGGCTGGCCAAAGAAATGACCACTCCCACTGCCCAGCCTAGGTGACAGGGGTGGGGTGGCTCCTGGCTCTAGGGAGAGAGGCAAGAGGTGACCTGAAGAGAGCCGTTCTGGTGCCAGGCTCCTCTCCCCTGGGGCAGCTGAGGAGACCTCCCAGAGCCTTCTCTGTGTTGTAAAGGGTCAGTGGCGTGGGGGAGGGAGATGGATGGGGCTGGCCACTTGGCCGCCTTTTCCAACACCGGAGGGAGGCAGGTGAGCAGATGAGCAATCTTGGAGCCCAGGTTTCCTTAGAGAAGATGGGGGACTCTTTGGTGTCTCCCATGCCAGGCTAGGAGACTTGCCTTAAATGCCCTGTCCCATGGATAGGGATTGGCACAAGAGAAGCCAAACACAGCCAACAGGCAGAGAAGCCGAGGGGTTCACCCCGGTGGTGGCTGAAGGTCGGGGGAGGCGGGTGCAGGGAGGAGACCCTGACAGGCAGGAGAGCCCTGAGTGACCCCTGGGAAGAAAATGGTCAGTCTCGGGCCCCTCTTGTCCAGCGGAGTCAGCGGGTTCCAGGGCCCTCCAGGCCCTGCACAGCCCCCTCCCTTCTCACCTGGGGTAGGGGGAGGCAGGAGAGGGCGGAGAAACCTTCCTCTATCTGCCACTCCACAGTGGCCCCTCACAGGAATGCAGCAGCCATGTAATTACCTGGAACTGGTCTTGTTTTGGGGAAAAAACAACAAAAAGTTTTCTGAGTCAGGTATGGGGCTGGGTGGGGCAGCTGTGTGTTGGGGTGGCTTTTTCTCTCTGTGTTGTTTTGAATAATGTTTACAATTTGTCTCAATCACTTTTATAAAGATCACCTCCAGCCCCCCCCCTCCCCATTCAGGCCTTTGAGGCTGTTTGAAGATGCTTGAAAAACTCAAACCAAATCCCAGTTCAACTCAGACTTTGCACATATATTTATATTTATACTCAGAAAAGAAACATTTCGGTAATTTATAATAAAGAGCACTATTTTTTAATGAAAACAAAAAGGTTGACTCGAGCTCTCTTTTCCCTGATTTCTCTTCCTCTCGCAACGGAATGAGGGGAGGGCGCTGGCTGTGCCTCTTGGGTCCCTGCCCACGGCGCTGAGGTAGAATCAGACTGCTCTCGCGTCACCGGCAGCCCTCCTGTGTCACCGGCGGCGAGCTATGGCCGCCACCTAGACTGTTACTGATGGTTAATTCCTGCCAGTCTGATTCAGCTCTGACCAGAATATGCAAAGCAAGTTTGCGAAGGAAGTACTGGCTTCAAAGGGCTTGCAGGGAGCAGGCTGCACTGTGGTCAGAAGCTGTTAGAGGCTCCAAGCTATTAGCGCTCACTTTGGCTGGGGCTGCTTGGCAGGGAGGTGTTCCGAGAAAGCCTAGATGGGGGGTCCTGATGATGACTCGTGACCCCAGCACAGCGTCACAGACGTTGCAGTGTGTAGGGGGAAGGTGATTCCCACACAAGGTTGGAGAGCAGGTGGGCCCCCCCCCCCGACAGGTGTTAATAGCTTCCTGGCCATGCTTCCCCATACGCTCACCTTGCATTCTTAACGTCCTACATGGGCCATGGACCACCAGCCAGGCTCCTTCTGGAAAACGCCCTTCTATTCACCGCGAGTCCTGCATCTGGGCACTAAAGAGGCTGACTCTCTGGCACCCCCGTGAGACACAGCTGTGCTTCTGTGTGAGCGGAGCCCAGCACAACTTGAATTCGTCATTTCTGGTGCCTAGAGAGGTGAAGCGTAAATATTTATCCGTTGAGTTCAGGGCAGACAGGGGTTCAGGGAAATGAAGCAACCTGCCTAGGGCATAGCACCCAGGAATGTGGGAATAACAAAGGGTGGGTGCTGAGGGCTGTCTGACTCCCCATTGTCTCCTAACAAGCCAAGCACACCTCAGGTCTTCCCCCCACCTCTCTCTCTCTCTCACACACACACACACACACACACACACACACACACGTTTTGCAGTAAGTTTAAGAAAACAAACACAGGCTCTGTGATATTGTTCCTTCTGCTACCCAGACCTGAAGAGCTCTCTGAAGAGCAGTGTGGTCCCCAGCCTGGGGGGCTCCTCAGTCTCCCTGTCTGACGCTCCAGTGCCTCAAAGATGTCAGAGCTTGCTTTGATCCCCACAGCACCTGAGGAACAGCTGCTGCAGGAGTCAGGTGTTGGAGAGGCAACTGGAGGAATAAACAAGGCCTGTTGGTTCCTTTCCTGGCCTTGGGGGGAAATGATCTAAAGAGATAAGGGCCTGGACCAGGCCAGACCAGGGCCAGACCAGAGCCTGGACCAGGCCAGAGACCAGCGTCGATGACTTGCCAGACCCACACGAAAGGAGGCACTGTCAACTTTAGAACCAGGACTGCAGACACGTCTCTCCCAGAGTCCCCGGTCCTTGAAAATTTCCTTGTCCTGAAGCCTGCCCGATGGCATCCATCTGCCACTCGCTTCAGAAGGTCACTTTCGTGAAAATTACAGCCTCCATGGAAGCAGGGAACCCGGCCATGCAGTTGGCCCCTGTCCTTGGCCCAGAAGGTGGCTGTTTGGCCATGCATCCATGTTCATAGGTTTCTATCTCCTGCCAGCCTCCTGGAGGCTCAGTTTGGTTTGGGGAGACTCAGAACAAAGAGGAAGGGGTTTGTTTTCCCTGCCTGCAGCTGACTGCCCACCCCAGCGATGTCTCCGGCGGCGGTGGTGACCGCTCAGGTGTGTACAGCCTGGGGACTGGTGCACACCAGGAAAACGAGGTTCAGAGGAGCAGAACAGCTTCCGTCCACACAGTGAGCGAGTGGCCACAGTAACTCCATCGCTCCCTGGCCAGTGCCTCTTGATTTTCCTTTTTCTCTCCTCCTCCTGTCACTGTTACACAGCCCTTGGGTGTCTCAGTCCTCTCGGGGGGGGGGGGTAAAACTGTTCTTCTCCAAAACACCTAGCAGGGGACCCGGGTCCTGGTTGCCGGAAGATGGGGTGCTCCTGGCTCCAAAATGCTCCATACAGAGCTTGAAGGGAGTGGGGCAATTCCATGAGACACAGGAAGTCGGAGAGGCTGCTCTCCGCCTCTGTTCTCTTTTACCCTGCTTCTAGGACTGCGAGCATCCACCCGAGAGCCCCCTCCATTCTCCCTGCTGGTGCTGTTTTGGGGGCTGGCCTCCTTGAAGACTTAAGCCAGGAATGGGAAATCCAAGGCCTGCTTGTGGGGAAGGGGGGGGGGAGGGAGGCCACAGACAGGGAGCTGGGGATGGAAAATGAGCCCTCACGAAGTGTCCCAGCGTACAGAATGAGGGACGATGTCAGTCCGGAAGGGGGTACCCGCAAGGGTACTGAGAAGCCAGGCAGCCAGAGCAAGAGACACAGCGGGCACAAGGACTCGGCCCCCCAGGAACCCTGGCTTGGTAACGGGGGGGGTGGAGAGGGGTGGGGGGGACACACACGCACGGGGACGCGAGCCGTGCCCACCGAGGCCCAGGGTGAACAGAGCCCCCCCCCGAGCCCCTTTATGCGCCCCGCCCGTCCTCCTCCTCCCGTTTCGGGCTCTGCGTCGTTCGAGCCGCCCTCTGCCAGGAAGAGTCACTTCCCGGCCACCGCGGGAGCCCGGGAGCAGCTATGCGAAGAATGTCCGCGCTGAGCGCAGGGAGGGCGGTCCCTTCGGGGGGCCCCGCTCCCAACACGCCCACCCCCGCAAAAGGCCACGCCCCAGGCACGCCCCCTCCCGCGCAGCGCCGTCGCCGTGGCAACGGGATCACAGGCGCAGAGCGCTGTTTATTCTCAGCCTGGTGCCAGGAAACTCGGCCGGCCGGGAGGCGGCCCGGCGCACCTCCCTGGGTGGGGTGGCGAGGGGGCAGCGGGGGGCCGGGGGGTGGGGGAAAGCCCGTCATTGGTCACAAGCGTCACTGGCCCCCGGGAGGCGACCCAGGGAGCTCTGACTTCCCTCCCGGCCAAGGATGGATATGTTTTGTGGCCCCCACCGGAGCCCAGAACACCCTTCCCGGGCTGGCGGGGCAAAGCCTGCCCTCCCCCTTCCATTCAGGGAGCCCCTCTGCTCCCTCCCCTTTGCCACTCGCCGGTTCGTCCACTCAGCAAATATCTGCCCAATACATCCTGTGTTTCAGGGAATGTTCTAGGTCCGGGGGGGAGGGGAGGAGGAGGGAGTTGTTGGAGTTGGGCAAGACGAGGCCTGCTGGGGTTTGGCTCCCCGTTGCTTCCCAGGAGTTAAGTCTGAGTGGGAGAAAGCTTGAAGGCTGAAGAAACCTGTGCGCTGCCCACAAGTTTGCCACGGAGAGCCGCAGGCTTGGTTAAACCCCCTCCCCCAAAGCCTGACAAAGGCACGGACTTTTCACTCGGAACGTATTCCGTGTGTTCTGATGGGGAAACTCGGGGGCCCCCAAATCCAAGGACGACCCTTCCAGGATCCAGACAGTCTCATTGACTCAGTCTACCCCCCCCCCCGCTTCCAATCCGCTTAGAGCCTCCCAGTGCCTCCTGGAGGCAAAGAGAACCAAAACCGACCCCCCAGGGCAATGGAGAGAGAGATTGATCCCTGGACTGCAACCGCGGGTCTTGTGAATCACGTACGGAAGGGAGGTCTGAAGCCTGAGCATCCCAGGTCCTCCTGGGTGACCCACCTGCTGGCTCACTTTGGGGAAGACAAGCCCGTGTTTCCGCTCTTCCTGGAAAGGGAATTTCCTCCTAGCACCTTGACTAAGCCCAGGCTGGAAAGCGAAGTGGGGAGGGAAGGCCCGGAGCTCACCACAGCTGTGGCAAGCCGGGACAGGCACAGCCCTTTTCGGTCCCCAGGCTCCAGACCCAGAGGCCCTGAGCGGACAGCAGGGTCTGTGGAGGAGGACACTCCTCAGCGCTGAGCCCTCTCAGCTGTGCTGTGCTGGGAATGCGCCAGGCGTTTGTGAAATCCTTGAGTGAGCCTGACCCACTCTCATGAGGACGGCCGGTGGAAGCTGTGCTGGAAGGGGGTGGGGGCTGTTCCCAGAAGCAGGGAGAACTCTGGACTTCCCACTCCTGCTCTCTCTGGATTGCAGCATGGACTTAAGCAATTGCTGCAGCCTGGAAGGCAACTTGCAGAGAGAAGCCGAGACCCCCCCAGGCTTTTCTAACACGGAGCCAGGGTTCTGGGTGCAGAAAGTGTGGGCAGTGACTGCTGTCCATTGCAGCAACGCAGGCAAGCCAGCTTCAGGGGCACTCGGGTCTTATCTTATTGCACTTACTTATTGCGGGTGTGCATAAGTGTGCCTCGGTGAGCCTGTGCGGGTCAGAACGCAGTCTGCAGAAGTCTGTTTCCTCCTTTTACCATGTGGGTAGAATTCAGGTGGTCAGGGTTAGCTGAGCCATCTCACTGGCCCTAGGAAACTCCAAGATTTTTTAAAAATTTTTGTTCAAGTATATGTAATGGGGCATGCAAGTCTTTTAATCCTAGCACTAGCAAGGCAGAGGCAGGCGGATCTCTGTGAGTTCAAGACCAGCCTGGTCTACAAAGTGAGTTCCAGAGCAGCCAGAGCTACACAGAGAAACTCTGTCTCAACACACCGCCCCTCTCAAAACAACAACAACAACACCACATACAGGCTGAGGAAGTGAAGAAGACACTCAGCATTTACAAGCTTTTTTTTTTTTTTTTTTTTTTGGTTTTTCGAGACAGGGTTTCTCTGTGGCTTTAGAGGCTGTCCTGGAACTAGCTCTTGTAGACCAGGCTGGCCTCGAACTCACAGAGATCCGCCTGCCTCTGCCTCCCGAGTGCTGGGACTAAAGGCGTGCGCCACTAACGCCCGGCTTTTTTTTTTGGTTTTTCAAGACAGGGTTTCTCTGTACTGTTTTTGGAACCTGTCCTGGAACTCACTCTGTAGACCAGGAACTCACAGAGATCCGCCTGCCTCTGCCTCCTGAGTGCTGGGATTAAAGGCGTGCGCCACCAACGCCCGGCTTAGACATGCATATTACACACAAACAACAAAACCATTTTAAAATTTAATCATTTATGTTTTAATGTTTGCAGACGAGGTCTCACTGTGTAGCTCTGGCTGGTCTGGTCTGGAACTCACCCCGCCGAGCCCAACTCTACATTTTATTTTTTTAAGATTACATTTATGTATGCATATGTACCTGTGTGCATTTGTGTGTGTATGTGCGTGTGTGTGTTTGCGTGTGTGTGTGTGTGTGTGTGTGTGTGTGTGTACATGTGTGTGACCCATGTGGCAGTCAGAGGACAATGGGCAGTATTCAGTTCTCTCCTACCATACGGGTCTGGTGGATGGAACACAGGTCATCAGGTGCCTTTATCTCCTGAGCCATCTCCATGACCTTCCACCTTCTTTTTGAGACAGATTTCTCCACTGCTTCTGAAACCGACCAGTTTGGTAAGACTGACTACCCTGTGAACTCTGGGGCTCTGCCTCTTTCCACTCCCCCGTGCTGGGGTTGCAGGCACATGCTCCCATGCCTCTTTCCACACCCCCACCCTCATATTCCCCCCCTCCCCTCCCCCCCCGTGCTGGGGTTGCAGGCACTCTCTCCCCTGTCTCTTTCCACACCCCCACCCTCATCACTCCCCCTCACTCCCCCTTACTCCCCCCCTGCTGGGGTTGCAGGCACTCTCTCCCATGCCTGGCTATTACATGGTGCTGACCACCTGACACCCTGCTTGCAGCAAACGCTCCACCCATTGAGCTATCTCCCCAGGCCCCAAACACCCAGATATAAAAGGAAAACACCACAAGGTAGATTTGTTACAGCTAGTACAGGCTGGCCTCCAACATGTAGCCAAGGATAGCCTTGAGTGCTGGGATTATGGGCATACACCACCACATCCAGTTTTATGCATGCTGGAGGTTAAATCCAGGGCTTCACACATGGGCATCTACCAACTGAGCTACACCCTAGCCTGAAAAATATTATTTAAAAATAGCATCTATAGCCGGGCGTTGGTGGTGCCCGCCTTTAATCCCAGTCCTCAGGAGGCAGAGGCAGGCGGATCTCTGTGAGTTCGAGGCCAGCCTGGTCTACAGAGTGAGTTCCAGGACAGCCTCCAAAACAATACAGAGAAACCCTGTCTTGAAAACACACGCAAAAAAAAAAGCAGTTATAATGTACACAGACTATTAAAGGTGTCGATACAAAAGCCACACGGACCCTTCTTCCAGGAAGCTGCTGTGCCACACACCTGCCACCCCTGCTGCTCACAGCATGCTCTTTGTGCATGAGATACGAAGAGGCTGTGAGGTGAGGGCTGCAAGGGTCCTGAGGTTTAGGGTGCAAGCAGAGCCTCAGACGGATACAGATTCACACACACACGAGCACACGAGCGCGCACACGCGTACACAGCGCACATGTGCGCACACACAAAAGTAAATGTAGACCTCCCTCCCTGTGTGGGAACCTGGTGACAACAGCATATTTTCCTGGCTTCAGGCTCACAGTCCCAAAGGGGAACCAGACTGAAAGCTGAGAAGGTACCCTAAAAGGGAACGGGTATAAAAATAAAACAGTGTACAAGGTGCAGCGCGGGGTGTCCAGAAGGAAGTGACCTGCGGTGACTTCCCAGAAAGGGAACTGAGCTGAGGCACTGAGCAGGTGCCCTTTCCACACAAGCCTCAGGGAGGCCGGCAGGAGCAGGGGAGATGGCAGGGAAGGGGAAACCCCGGGAGCCGGTGGAGAAGGTTGGTATGTCCCAACAGGGCGCATCTACACCAGACCTCATCTTCTAAAAATACTGCTTTGTCACGGCACACACGCAGCCCAGCCCAGGGAATCCATGATGCTGGTTCCTCTTGGCACTTTTTTTCACCAAGCCAAGTTTCCAACCCCTCCAGGCTGTTAGTACAGCAGAAACCTTGCTTTCATCCCTGCCTCTCCCCTACTCCATCCCACGCCGTGAGACCAGTCTTTCCAGCAAGGTGACCCTCTCACTGGGTACTAGACACACACACACACACACACACATCCCACAGGTGCATCCTGCCCTTCCTGTCACTTTTCCTTGACGGCTCAGCCCTCCCTCCCAAATGTGCAACAGCAGCAGATCACGTGTCTCCTAAGTGTTAGGAGCACAGCACAGCGGTTTTTTTAAAAAAAAGTCAGGCTTCAAAGGAGAGACAGACAGACAGACAGATGCTATCTCATTCCACCATAAGTACAGAATGACGCATTTCCCAGATGAGCATTGTTGAGGTTTGGTCCATTCTCCAACCATAGGCAAATCAATGATGTGACTTAGACTCCAGATCCTCCCACGGTAGCTTGCGCTTGGCTGGAGAACCTCTATCCATGCCACCCACGGGCTCCACTCGGCACTCCAGGTGGTGGCTGGGTGCAGCTGGCTGTTACTGATGCCATGGTCAGCCTTAGGGGCAAGTCCTGCCCTACTGGACCTTGGATGATGGCAGAACCATCAGCCGGTGTCATTGGGGGAGCCCCAGCTGCTCCCAACAGGCAAGGACTCTACAGACACCCCCACCCAAGCAAGAGCTCTGCCCTGCCCCCCCCCACTATCTGGGACTTGGCTAGAAGCCCCAGGGTATCCCTAGCCCCTCCAAGTTATCCTTTCTAAAGACTAAGGTGGGGCTTAGGAAACCACCTCTAAATTCCTTTCTGTTCTAGAACCCTGTGAAACGGAGTGGGGGGGAGAGACGCTGGCCAGTTTTGCAGAGAGGCAGGCTGGCTTCCAAGTATGGTCCCCAGTTATTTACTGCCCTTTCAGAGTCTCTTGGCATCCGCTGAAAGTAGGTAAGGGGTTCTGGCAGGACTGTAGCCCAGTCAGGACCGCCCAGGGACAGGACAACTGTGAGTGGCCCTGAACTACAGCTCCGCAAATCACAGGTCCAGGTTTCCCCATCGGACTCCTCAGGCCACTGCAGGATGGGGTTTGACTTTCAACTCAGCAAGGACCCTGAGCAGATTTGGACCAGAGCCCTGAAGTGGAAGGGCTGGGGTAAGGGCCCAGATGAGACCTCCCCTGGTCCTCTTCCAGGCTTCTCCAGCCTAGCAGAAAGAGCTATGTCAGCTAGGAGGCCTCTGTTGCTGGAAGACACCCTGTGCATCAGTTCCCAAGACTGGGCCTGCGCTGTCAGTCTTGAGTGAAAAAAAACAAAACAAGGCCTGTGGGTCACCAGGCCAGACTCTGTGACTGGGAGGAGAACTGCCTGGAAAGCAGTCAACTCAGAAAGCCAGATGCCAGGCAGAGGTTGCAGGCCCCTGGCAGAATGATGGGAAGTAGCCAGGGATGACAGAAGCTCCCAGAGGCCAGGCAAGGCATGGGGTATACAGGTTGCTGCATGCACACTGTTGCTCAGCACATTCTGGGATCCTGTGTAAAGATGACAGACAGACAGACAGTGCACTCACTGTTCATGGTCTTCCTACCGGCAGTGAGTGTCTGTGAATCACCCTGGTCTAAGTTCTCTTTGTGGGCAGGACAGTCAACCCAAGACACCAGCTAGTTCAAGGTGGGGCTCTGGCAAGGCCCCAAGCTTTCCCCAGGAGGAGAAAGCTGGCTCAGACCAGGATCAAGGGGATCTCAGGAGTTCTGGGGAGATTTCTCCGTTGGTAATATGCTTATGCAAGCATGAGAACCATGTTCAGATCTCCAACACACATGTAGACAGCCAGGCACAGTGCTACCCACATATAATCCCAGCACTGGGGAGGCAGAGACAGGGGATCCCTGAGGCTCATTGGCTAGCTAGTGAGATCAAATCTGTGCACTCCAGAAACAGTGTGAGACTTTTTCTCAAAAAAAAAAAAAAGTGGAGTGGGAGACATGTGAGTGTAATGGTATAATGCCTTTAATACCAGAACTTGGGAGGCAGAGGCAGGCAAATCTCTGTGAGTTCCAGGACAGCCTGGTCTACATAGTAAGTTTCAGCACAGCCAGGGCAACATAGTGAGACACTGTCTCAAACAGTCATGGTGCTGACAATGATG